CACAAGGTCCTCGGTCTCACGTTGCCCACCCTCGACAAACCGAGAGTGACGGCTTGCGAGCGCACGGCATGCACCGTTGAGTGGACCAGCAGCTTCGTCAAGCAAGGCCAAGACCAGACGAGGCTCGGGTTTAACTTGTCCTTCGTCCCGGCGGCGACGACTAACGCCTCGAGCAACGCTGCTGGCCACGGCAGCCGGGGCGGCGGGTACATGGAGGCGAGTGGACCAGGGGTGTTTGCCCCGAGGGAAGACAAGAAATGCTGCTGTATTTGGCATCAGCACACCGTTGTCATCATCAGTTTAGCACGAGGGCGGTTCAATTAAGGGCCCGAAATTACAGGAAAGCAAGCGGATGTTCCAGGTGTTTGGCTGGGTGTGTGCGAAGAGAAGTAATTCGGAATATGGCCGAGGAAAAAGAACGATCGAAAACGTGCGGGGATAAAAAGTGATCACGTTGTAGATTGCGTTGATAACGGCTCCCGAAGAGCTTGAGCAGTCCCTTGAGGGGCCCAAGCAATGCTCTTTGAACAAATCATTTCCGTCCATCGTTTGCGCACACTGTCACGTTTGGGGTAGGCGCCTGTAATACGACGTATGCGTATGATTGCCAAGATCACAACAACAGCAAAAAGTTGGATGACGTGATTTGCGGACGACGATCAAAAAAACATTGGTCATCCGTTGTCTGTGCCCATCAGGTGTTCGTGGGGGACCCGAGGCTGAAGTCCGAACATGCGCGGGACAGGGACTTGCTGAGCCTGGGCATCACGGAAGGAAAACGGTACACAATTGTGGTGGACACCATTCTAGCACCGGACACCCTGTACAGGTAGGTGTGATCCGTGCGTGCAGGAAGAAATAGAGTAACCGGCTGCTTCGGCCATGAAATAGTGTATCGCGTAACAAGCGTCGGAGATTCGAATATAAATAATAATACTCGGATTGTCAACGCTGTTCCGTAAAAAAAGGAAGAATCGATGCACTGACCGACTGCTGATTGTAGGCCGAAAGAAAATGGATCATCATCAGATCGTCGCCTCCTCTAAATTCACGGTTGGCACCACTACAAAAAGATTTGAAACACTGCGTCCGGGGGGGAGAACGGCGGGCGGTAGTATCTGCGACAGAATCATATCTCCAAATGCCAATGGCCAGAGAGGGACATGACGCTGACTGAATTAACACAGAGAGAGGGTAGGCAGTCAAGCGTGTCTGTCTCCTCTAATGATTTTTCTATAATTAAAAACGTAATATTCGCCAGTCATTCGCCAGTCAGTACCGTCACGAAATAATCAATAGACTAAGCGAGGGCGAGACCTTCCTCGGGGAAAAAGAAATGTCACGTAACACAGACTACGGCATGTCCTGTAGGCTACACCACCAGCTAACAACGTACACAGCCACATGAAGCGACGAGGAAAATCTCGTCGCTCGCTGTCACCCGAAAACAACACATAGTCCACGGCACGTGCTTGGTAGTTGATTGAACTCGAGGGTTCTTGATTTTTTCAATACAATATGAAGACTCTACTACTACAGTTGTAGCGAAGAAGTACCGAAGACCTTGGACTTGGTTCTCGAACGCGTTGTTGGACGGACTGGACCTCACGGTGGTAGTCTAAAATCTACATTCATTGTTGGTTTCCTTGAAAAGAGGACGAAAGGCCACGGGAGTCGCCCCAGAACAAGACGGTGGTGGTAGCGCGTGTTCTGCAACAAGCTGTGTGACAACAGTTTTCGCCTACCGCAAGGACATGCCGTACGCGACGTGCGCTCGCTCCGGCGGGGGACCAGGGACGAGTATCGCCGCAAAGAAAGATCACAAATCCGCCGGCCTGCGGCATAGACTACAACATTCGTATACTACAGCTTGCAAGGAGGTCTCGACGTTTCTATGTACAACAGCCCTTTTTAGCCACATTGGGGGCTGGGGGATACTTCAGAAAATCTTGCTGCACCATGCATCACTCCTTTGACATTGTTTACGGATAAGAACGAGGATTCAACCAAAGGATTCAACCCAAGACAGAATGCTGTATTTACATACAGTATTTAGTGTGCTGCTACGTACATATGTGTTGTGACTAGACTACTAGTCAGGGGCTCCGACGGCAAGGTTTCTCAAGAAAAAAGTTGGACTACACCTAGAGCCCGTAGTACTGATATGCACACCTCTGTGTTGTCGAATCGTTCCCAAGAGAACTCTCGTAGTTTGCCCTCACGAGGTTGGAGGACCGTTCTCACGATAGAGCGAGCATGGCTGCTCGATGGATTCTGGCTGAACGCTACAGCAGTACATATTGACAGTAAGAGAAAATATATTTGTACGATATATATATGTTGTAAACAACCACATACTATGAATCATCCTCTGTAGTCCAATGGTTAGGATATATCGCTTTCACCGATGAGACCCGGGTTCAATTCCCGGCAGGGGAGAAATTTTGTCCTTTTTTCCCTTTTGTTATCTGTTGTCCCACATGTTTTCCCCTCTTCTCCCTCATCCCATTGATTACTCTTTACATGCATGCATTTATGTACCCGGCATCTTGCCTTTTCTTATGTTCACCCCCACCCCCCCCATGTCTTATGTTCTCCCTCTTCAAAAGTTTCCTTTTTTTTTCTCTGCCGACGTGTGCGCGTGCGGATGATTGATTGATACGACTGTGTGGCGAACAAAGGACAAAACGAGACTCAATTAACAAAAGAAAGATTGGTTCCTCGAAAAAACTGTACGTCGATGGAGGGTTAAGCTATTATTTGGCACATCCCCCCCCCCCCCCCCCCCCCCNCCCCCCCCCCCCCCCCCCCCGGGCGCGCTGAAAACTTGGTATCGTATGAAATTATGGTATTTTCAAGGCATAAGTCTGAATTTTCCAACTTTCCACTCCCTCCCAGCGATGAAATCAATCATGGGATTCTCTCTCTCACGTGTCAAGTCATTAAGTTAGTGCCGCCTTCATTTAATAAAAGATCTACCGCGCTCAATATACACCCGAACCTGTGCACGTTCCACCCTTTTTTTGATCTCAAGGTTTTCCGTTTGCGTCGTCTACGGCGAAACTGCCGGTCCGTTCTCCGAGTTTTCCATGCCCGCGCGGACGTCCATGGTGACGGCCCCGTTGCCAGTTCCCAGGGCGCCGGAAGGGTCTCCAGGGACGCACGCGGTCACGCTCCGTTTCCTGCCGCCTCCCGACCATGGGGTGAGGGAAGATCGGCAAGATTGGCATCGTCCAAAAGCTCGAAAATTAGTTGTGTTGTCTTTGAAGCTTGCTTGCCCTAGTCTGTACGCATACATGCATTCGTCCGTGCAGTAGTCCATACTCGTATTATTTTCTCTCTGTTCCTCGTATTGTTGGGAGCCACCGACGGGGAGCAGGGGGGGGGACGGGGTGGGGGCTGGGTGTGTGAAATTTCAGGTCTCATCTGGTTTTGTATCGGCGAGGCTGCCCCATACGATGAAACACCTGTGAAATCACGTTCGTTCGTTCGTTCCTCTTTGCGTATCGATGGTCCTTGTGGTGTGAGTGTATCTCTTCTTCCGGCCTCGCGAAAAAACAGCTAGAGTAGTAGCTGTAAGACACGCCAGATGCACCGCAATGCGTTTCTTGAAGCTTCGGTTCTTCTTTGTTTGGGGCACCTCCTATCCACCCCCCTACCCCCCCTCCCGGCCTGCGAACAGCTCCATAACCGACAACGCCATTGATCTGTAACTGAACGAATGCTTGTGATCGCCCCACCCCGTCCCCCCGCCCTGCCACAAACAACCCGCACGTGGAAAAAAACGGCCATATTACTACCAGGGGTCTCCGGTTTCGTGGTATCATGTCATGTCCCGACCGACCGGGGCACACGTCCTGAGCAAGTGGCAGGCGGTGGGCATGGTGCCGGCACCGGCGCCAAGGCTGGACGTGTCCGTTCACGACACGGAGCCGCAATCGGTGGCGGTGAAAGTGGAACACCTCGTGCCGGGAGTCGCGTACCAGTTTCGCGTTTGCGCCCAGAACGATGTTGGGTGAGGATGAAACCCAAGGCGTGGCATGCTGTGGCTTTGGTAACCCGAAACAACCAACGCCGCCACCAAAGTACATCGTGTTTTGTCACTTTTTGCCTGTTTGTCCAACGTGTGTTTCCATGCAATATTTGTATGGCGTTGGTTTGCGCGCGCTTTGTCTCCGCGCCATGCGGTTCTCAGGCATGCCACACCCCACAACGAGCAAGTTCACTCATCAGAAGGAGGAACAAAATCATTTTTAACAGTGCGGGGCATTAGCTAGTCTATTAAGGGCTGGTGGTAGTGTAGTACCAGCACCAGCCACATGTAGCAAGCAACGAAGAACATTTCCCAATTGTATTTGCTCCAATACCTCGCGGGAAAATGTTAAACATGGTGAGCAACACTTGTATCTCGTACCACGAGAAGTCATATTCGGCCGATTGTCAGGAAATCAAGTCATTGCCTCAAGTTTCCTTCCGGGTGTTAATGGGACTATCTTCAATGGTTTCTTCTTGTCTACGAATAGGACGTCTCCCTGGAGCGCCCCATCCGAGCCCGTTGTGGTACTCGCAACCGAGGCGGAAGATGCCAAACACAGGGATTTCTCCATGAGCGGTTTCCACGCTGGCCATGAGCACCTGCGTCTCCCGAACGTGACTGACGGTGGGTAGTAGGGTAAGGAATCGCTTGCCAATGGCCTTGGGGCAAGACTTTCTTTCAGCTTATGAATCTTCCCTCTTGGTGTGAGAGCAAAGATTGGGAGCCGAAGGAATATGGTCTATATGTGAAAAATAACCCTCGCTCATGTTATGCCAAAGAAACGAAACGTAGGGCCTTGTGCCCAACACTAACCCCTCGGCAACACCGATCCATCCACCCCCTCATTTTTTCATACTCTGTCTGGCTGTACAGTGTCGGTGACCTATGCCGGGGAGACCGAGCCGCCCCCCGGAGCAGGATTCGATCCCTTCGAGAGGGAGGTGCACGGACCCACCGTGATTCTCGACGACCGAGCGAGCAAGATCCGCGTGGCCGGCAACAGCTCCGCGTTTGAAGACATCGACGTGTGGACCTGCCACTTTAGGCACGTAGTAGGAGATTCCTCACACCAAAAAGCATCACCAGCTTGAAAGCAAGTGTTGATGAGTTTGTATGCATACCACAATCTAGCGTTATTCACGTGGTCATGAACTACCATGAACACATCATGCTGTGTACCTCGCTATTGCATAGGCGGGGCGCACGGACGATGAATACCGCACCCAAACCCACCACGCACCCTGTGCCACTCCCCTACGCCCCTCCTAGACAGTATGGACAAACACCATGTGTATTAAACTCTCCCACTACCTCCACCTCGCGTTTTCCCCAGCCCCCGATCCTTCAAGGTAAAATCCGAGGTAGTCGTGGCGCAGCCTGCTGACGCGCGGAGCGAACTGGAGAACGGGCGCTTCGTTCGTAACCGCATTGTCGTCGTGGAGCGGGGGGACATTCCGATTGTACACAAGGTAAGAACACACCCACCCTTCAGAAGAACGGAATATTTTTCATCAGCTTGAATGGACCATCCGCCTTGCACCTCAACGCTGTTAACAGATGACTGCCCGTACGATTCTACTCTACTCTTCTCATACACACATGATGCAGAAAACTACAAAGTTCCAAATGGCCAGTCGTGTGGTAAAGACATCCTAGCCAAGCCGCCCACAACAGAACAAAGAAGACAGCACAAATACACCACACCAACGGCACGCGCCATAACAGGTGCTAGCCGCGCAGCGCGCCGGAGCCCTCGGAGTTATCGTTGCCGACGACGGGAGGTGCGGCGGCAGCTTCGGACAGCTGTGCGTGTACGGCAGCGACCCCCCCGAGGGCTGGGCGGCCCTCGACATGCCCCGCCCTTGGCTCGACGTCCTGGTCCCCGTGGTTCTCATGCTCCGCGAGGACGCGGATAGGTTGACCGCGGCGGCCGGGGCGGCGGCGGCGCACGCCGAGTCTATGGCGTGGACCTCGCTGTATGACGGCTGGGTTGATTCGATGAGTTCTTCGTCCGCATCGTCTTCGTCATCTTCGGCGTCTTCGGTGGGAGGCGGGGATTGGAGAACGAGTAGCGCTCTCTGACGTTTTATTGTAGTTTGCCTGTTCTGAGTGCATTCCCAGGGGGGGGTGGTTAGCGAACCAACCCAACGAGAGTCGCGGGTAAGAGTCCATGTCGGATCGATCGATGTTCGTCGTTTTTCTTTCTCGGGTCAGAGGGGACGGGGATTTGGGGATGGGAACATACTGCGGTGTGTGAGTCTCTGGCCAAAAATGTTGATTTGTTCCCCTTGCTGATTGACAGCAGAAAAAGAGACGTTTTGTCTTTTCCGTTCTCGACAGGTAACTCCCTTGTTCGCCCCCCTTCAAAAAATATTTCAAGAAACGTTGCGAGACCCTGATTGTTCCGAAGCGTGCCAAACCTTGGTGATGTTTGCCTCAAGTGCTTTGTACAGCAGTTGTAGCGACGCTCGCACCCTTGATTGGTGGGGAGATTATGCTGCGGGAATGCTTCCGCCGTTGTGGCGTCTGAGCCAATGTACGCATCGCAAATGGCGGCGTAGTCCACGTTGCTGCCGATCTCGACGTGTGTTGACGAAAAGAGAAATTTTGCCAATGTCAAAAAGTCCTACAGAAAGTGTTCCTGAACAGCGTCGTTCATAAGTGCCCGCGTTCATTCGCTACGCCGTTCCCGCTTCCTGCACGGTGGCCTTCGCTCCGCGACGGCCAGCACCGATTGCGGCGATCCCCTCGACGCCAGCAGCTGAACAAGAAACAGCCACCACGACGGTGAGTAGACAGTTGAAAAAAAAACTGTCCTACTTGTGTGACACTTTTGCGTCGAAAAACAAACGGCCGTGGGGGTTCGTGCCGCGATTGTCGGCACAAGATGACGCCATGGCCCTAGCCTACACAAGAGGAGGGAAGGACGCGATCAGATGTTGGGTTCACATTTGGTGTGCTGCTAACCAAAGCCACCCCCGTCCTGTGTTCCCGCCTCGACTCTAGCTCCCCTTGCTCACCCAGGTAGAGCGCTGCGGTGCAACCAGTAGTCCCGCCCCCATGCCCTCCGGCGAACGAAGAGCCGCTAGACAGGCACTACCTTGCCCACAGACAATCGTTGCTCTAACACACCGTAACGTTCACCATTAATATTCCGCACAAATGCAACCCACAGCACAGCGATAAGTAAAAGCATGGACACCCCCCTCTCAGAGCAAAAAAACAATTTCCGTGCCAACGGTTCTGCCGATGCAGGAAACACAATTTCCCATAAAAACCAGCACAAAAAATAAAAACTGCATATAACACATACGAGGGTCTAAAAAGCATAAATAAAGGACAACGGGGCCCAACACGTTAAATGAAAAGATAAACAGCGTCGCTCTCGTTCCTACGTTTCGCCTCGTTGCTATTTTTTTGCCTTCTTGCTAGCCGAACCCTTGGCCCCTCCGCCTCTCTTTCCCGACGAAGCCCCGGAAGACGAGCCACCTCTCCCTTTGCCGAAAGACTTTTTTCGGTTCAATTTTGGGTTTTTCCCTTCTTCCCCCCCGTCCCCCTCCCCCCCATCTCCATCCCCCCCGGCAGCCCCTCTTGCGTTTACATCCTCTTCTTCGAACTTGTATGAGTCATCCATCTCTCCTGGGTACGGGAAGGTGCCGTGCACAAGTACGTAAGAGGATGTGGGGTGGGGGGGGGTTAAGAGCAGTATTCTCGTCGAGAGGACGCTACTTATAGGCGTAGCTCCAAGTCTAGGGGACGTGACGGGGGAGAGGGTTGCACATCCTCCGCTCCACGGTGTGCGTACGAACCGCGTCCTACACGCACCGCGACCGTTGACACCGTTCATCACTGCTGTGCCACGCCTTCAAGCGCACCTTTGAGCACCTCCCCGCCCATGGCGTCGAACACGTTCCCCTTGTAGTCCAGGCGGCAGACCTCGCTGAACAGGCCCTCCACCTTGGCCTCCGTTTTCCCAATCCCGACCACCATTACCGTGGCAGAAGGAATTATCTGCCCGCTAAACTGCTGCCCTGTGAAGGGAGGATAACAAGAGTCAGGGGGTGGCGGGAGGGAGGGACGGGGTCCTACCCTGTCCTAACATTTCAACAGACCGCACAGCGCGATTCTGGTAAAAAAGACGTGAAAACCAGGGCCCGTAGAACCTCGCACCTCCGTGGATGCTGCTGCTAACTGGTTTGCAACGTAGGCCGCTAGCATACCTTTGAGGTCGAACGTAAGCCCTCTGCCCTTCTTCTTGCCCCCTACCGAGATTCGCCCGATCGCGCCGGTGTCACCTGTCACAAAAACAAGGAGAAAGGAGGAGAGAAGGGCTCGAAATCGCTGTTGTTCTGGATGGTACGCCAGCCTTGCGCGGTCTCCTGCAAGAGTTGTGGTGTTTACGTGCAGTCCGTGTCCGCCTGCGTGTGTGTGTGTCTCTGTCTGTCTCACCTGCGAAGTTGAGCGCTTCGTCTCTGAGGTGCACCAACAGCGATGCCTTGTTGTCCTTGCACACCGCCGGAGGGACTATCAGCGGCACCTCATCCAATTTCTTCAGGGAGAGAAAGCCAGACAGAGAGGGGGGGGGGAGAGACACACACAGAGAGAGAGAGAAAGAGAGAGAGAGAGAGATGGGGCGGGGGGTCAGTATTAAAGGGGTCAACGAGTCAGTACCACTACTATTCCAAGCAAGACGAGGCTACTGCTGTAGGTACAAAGCACGCTGTTTCGTTCTCATGCACATGTCCGTGGGGTGTTTGCGACAAAACGGGAGTGATTGCAACCAGGCACTAACTGGCTCGGGGGAACGACAACGTGCCACTGTCATTCATGGTCGTCGCCCGGGAAATGATCATTTATTAATAGCTTATAGATGGCTCGTGCCTCGCCAATGCAGCAGCAGTTTTCACTACTGTACTCGACATTTCAGGGTGGCCTTTGTCAGACCGCTATTTCGTCGAAAATCGAAAATCGAAAATCGAAAATCGAAAATCGAAAATCGAAAATCGAAAATCGAAAATCGAAAATGTCACTGATTGGACAGGGCTCCAGTGTTCCGCCGCCAGATTTTCGATCTGGGGGTAATTGTTCCGAATATTCTCCGACATGGCAAAATCAAAAACGAGCACGAACAGACTCGAAATCGAAAATATAAAGCGTGAACAGGAACAAGAAGTTGCTTGCCAGCTGCTTGCCAGACTCTCTGAGAGTCGTACATGCCTTCATATCGATGCTCGTCAAGCCACTTACAGACTGCTTGGCGATGCAAGCAATAGCTTGGCAGAGAGCTGGCATACAGCAGAGCACGTCGTACATTCTTTGAGCGAAATGTGCTCTAAGTAGAGAGAGACAGAGTCATCGCCGTGAAATTATTTCTTTGCAACGGCAGCTGTTTCGGCTTTCCTACATCAGCACGCAGTATCCAACCACACATTGCTCGATGAGTTCGCAACGTATCGATGCGAGAACAAGACCCCCAAACCCGCCTGATCATCGCCGACATCCGGCACTGCTGTCGCTCGCTGTGTGGGATGCCCTGTCACTCTCATGGTCATGGTGTGAATCATTGCAACCGACACTTTTCAGGCATTTGTCGTGTCACCCACGGTGTTTTCCACTTTCGATTTCGATGCATCACCATCGGTGTCCGAGTAGAGCCAACCCGAAATCTAAAATCGAAATCGAAACCCAACTCGAACTCGAATTCGATTTCGATTTTAGATTTGGAAGTCTCTGGTGACAAAGGCCACCCCGAAACAGCACCGAGCGCGATCAAGGAAATTTGAAAAAAACGCGGACCAATCAATCAACCATTTGTACTCACACCCGCACCTCTTTCTGTTGCTTGCCCCCCCCCTCTCCTCCTCCTTTAGCCCCCGCTTTGGCCTTACCATCGCCTTCATCTCCGCAACCCCCTTCTTCTTGTTGCGACTGCTGGCTCTGCTCGTGGGTCTGAGATTGCGTCTGGCTTGGCTGCGTGGTTTCCTGCGTCATGTCGAAGTCGTCGGATACCTCCCCACTGCTGTCGTTGTTGTTGTTGTTGTTGTTGTTTACATCATCTTCATCCATGACCCTGGCGCGTCTTTTTCTTATCCGATCAGCTGTGTTGATTTCTTTCAGTGTTTTAATCGACCTGCTGCTTTGTGTAGCTGCTGTGCATGAAGTGTGGTGTGGCGGGATGCGCTGCATGTGGGGGCTCCGCGATATCCAGAGCGTAATTAGGCCGCATTTTGATGCGGTGCGCTGCTCTGAGCGATACCACCATACGCTAGCACACGCTAGACTGCCAGCAGGATGGATTTTGGGGAGCCGTCAGACGATGAGGCGGATGCTGGAAAGGTGAGCAGTACGGCCTCACCTGTGGGCTTGGAGTGATTTGTCGCAGACCATCTCAAGAAACAGCGGCAAACGTTCAGCTATTGCGGATCGTGGATCGCTGTCCACAGCTCTCTGGCGAAAAGCCGGTCCAGATACCTACATTACCTTCGTGGTCTCTCGCGATGCCAAGATACGTACACTGTACACAGCGTCTCGTTCACTAGTGGTACGATCGACCGTTTGCTGTTAGCATGATAGAGCTTGGCGCGTATGTTGTCTGGGCGGTAGTCTCCGACTGCGCGTCCTTTGTACGAAACCGCGTGAAAGCCACGAATGAATGCAGTCCGACACAGACTCGTGGGTGTATGCATGCAACAGCAGTATCAGTCTATAGGACCTGAGAGGAGTTAACGTAGAATGAGCCTGATGAGCAGAACGAAACAACGGTAGCATTGCGGTACTTTGCCCTGTCTACAAACGGGTACTGATGTGGGGGGCTGTCGTTGTGTAGGTACTCCAGGAAACGGTAGAGTCAACAACCCTTGGGTTAGTGCTTGTTCAACTCGACGTGAACAACTCTGCAGGTCCATCATGATCCACGTTGTAAAGTTGCGGAGGGTACCAACAGGTCACAGCAGTAGCTGGGCATACCGGTAGCATCCGAGATGCTGCGCTGGCGTTTGGTGTAACTGCTGCTCTCGAGGTTGCCTCCAATGGCCCCGGTAGCCTCTCCCCCACTAAACCTGTCAAGGCCGTGAATTTAGCGTACTCGTTGATCGGCGCTTGATACCCCGCAAGCATGCGGGTCCTCCCATACCCCCTACAAGGCCAGACCACCTTTCAAATCTCAGGTGCTCTCCATAACCTAGAGGTTGCAAAAAGCCGACCGGTACTGTACATTCGAGAACCAACCCCGACGAGATCTCTCCAAAACCAAGCTTTCGGAATCGACACCCCTAAGAAGCAATGAAGTTTGAAAGTCGGTCTCCTGCAGGGGGGATCAACCCAAATAATTACAGGCACCAACTTACGATACCCCCCCCCCCCC